AATTGTACCAAAATGTGTAACATGATTGTCTTTGGTAATAGCAACTTGTTGGGCCTCTAAGAGGCCTAGCAGCAAACATAAATATAAAAGGTTCATGTTGGTGTGGGATCCGCTTCCTCTGGGTCAGGAACCTTCTTACAGTATGAAGCGTGTATCCAAGTGTTCTTCCCAGCCAACTTTATAGAGGTAGCTGTAGTCAATAGTACTTGGTATGGACAATCGAACCTTGGCTCAAGAGTATGTTTTCTTAGGAATTTCTTGACTTTAACCCAATCACCAGGTAGTAACTTGTGCGTGCCTGTATTGGATTCAGGCTCTGGAATAGAAGAAAACACCTGTGCATGGATTTTGGTCAAGGCATGAGAGAGTGCAGTTATATAATCTACCATTGCATCTGACTGGAGTTGAAGTTGTTGTGGAAAGTAACAACCTAACCTGGGTGCTGTCCCAAACAAAATCTTGTAGGGGGATAGGTTAAACTTCCCTCTTGGAGTATACCTTACACTAAAGTGTGCTATGGGGAGACTCTCCGGTCAGGGCAAATTAGTTTCCTGTGACATTTTAAGCATTCTGGCTTTCAGTATGCCATTCATGCGTTCTACCTTACCACTACTTTGTGGGTGATAGGGTGTGTGGAAAGCAAGGGTCACCCCCAGTGCTGCCCAGATTTCTCTGGTCAGTAATGCGGTGAAATATGTACCTTGATCACTTTCAGTTACTTCAGGGACTCTGTATCTGCAGATAATTTCAGTGAGTAGGTGTTTAGTGGTAGTCTTTGCGGTAAGGTTGGCAAATGGGAAAGCTTCTGGCCACCCTGAAAACATATCCACTATGACCAGTGCATACTCGTAACGGCTGCTCTTCGGCATGTGGATATGATCAATTTGGATCCTTTGGAAGGGATATTGTGGTTTAGCCAAATGATTCGGTGCAGCTTTGATTATTTTCCCTGGGTTGCATTTAGCACAGATAGTACATGAACGGCAGTAATTTAGAGTTAAGGTAGTGATCCCAGGTGCTTCGAAATATTGATCAATCAAGGAGTTCATGAGTTGTTTTGACAAATGTGCTGGTCCATGAGACAACAGCCAGGTACATATTCTTGGGTAGACAGAATTTGAGGTTGATTGTGTATATGTCATTCTGGATAATTGCTCCTTTGTCCTTCCAGCTTTGTTTTTCCTGTGGGGTAGCAGCGGCCTGTTGTTCTCTTAGGAATCTGAGGACATGGGTAAGGTTTGCATGGTGTAAATAGGGGTCTTCTCATCGGACACTCTTCTGTCCACTTCCCACTTCTGGCGTGCTGCGTCTTTAGCCGCTTGGTCGGCCAGATGGTTACCATGGGCTTCTTCTGAATTCAATTTACCATGGGCCTTGACTTTTAGTATAGCTACTTCTTCTGGCATTAGTAAGGCGTCCATTAATTCGTTAATAGTCGCACCATGTTTTACAGGAGTACCTGTTGCTGTAAGGAATCCTCTGGTCTTCCAGATTAAGCCAAAGTCATGCGCTACTCCTAGGGCATACCTGGAGTCTGTGTAAATGTTGACACGCTTTCCTTCTGATATTCTGCATGCCACTGTAAGAGCTATCAACTCGGCTTCTTGAGCTGATTTGGAGGAGGGAAGTGGGGGTTCTTGGAGTATTTGGTCTTCTGTAGTGACTGCATACCCGGTATGGTACTGACCCTGTTCGTTTGCGAATCTGGAGCCATCCACAAACCGTGTGTAATCAGGGTTTGGTAAGGCGGTTTTGTGCACAGTGGGAAGATGGGTGGTTTCCATCTTCATCTGTTCAAAGCAGTCATGTGGAGCTTCTGGGTCTGGTTCTGCAGGAGGCACATCTTCACATATCTCTGCCTGATATCGGGGGTAACCGATTGTTTTGTAATTTATGGTCTTCTTAGTGACCCCCGTCACTGCACCTCCACCAGGATAAGCAATTCTTCTTCATAGTATGAGTCAGGACCTGGAGCATCTCGAAACCACAGGGTGCAATGTTGTTGTGTTTCAGGTTGTTCATCATGCGGAATTGTGGGCTTTCCAATTTGTAGTTCCGTGTAAACATCAGGATGTATATGTAAATTTTACCAGTATTGTGGAACTCCCCCCTTGGGAAGGGGCAGAAGAGTGGCCGTATTCAGAGTTTAACATCGTTGCAGAGTAACACTGTCGGGTAAAAGAAGAGAAGTTTGAAGGCGAAGGACTTGGTTCAGAATGGCAGCAATGTCATGTAGAGCCAGAACAGTCAGTTTATGTCCAAGAACAAAATCATTAGTTTTATCCAAGAGGGCACTTGCAGCAAAGACAGCACGCAAACAGGAAGGACCCCCTCTGGCTACGGGGTCAAGCATGCAGGAAAAGTATCCTATGGGGCGTTGACGGGGCCCATGAGATTGAGTAAGGCATGGCCCATCTTCTCAGAGACAAACAGTTTAAATGGCAACTCGTAGTTAGGGAGGCCCAAAGCAAGGGCTGAAGAGATTGCCCTTTGTAGAGCAAAGTAGCAACTGCAGGCTGTTGAGGACAATGTGAAGGGTTCAGTCTTCAAGGCGTTGTAGAGGGGTTGCATGAGTTGAGAGGCCTCAGGGATCCAAGATCTGCAGTATGTGATGAGGCCCAGGAAGGCGTGGAGGGCCTGGTGAGTAGATGGAAGGGGAAGATTGGTGATGGCACGAACTCTGTCTCTTGTCAGATGACAGGTGCCATGGGAAAGACAATGTCCCAAGAAGACCACTGTGGCCCGGCATCATTATAGTTTAGCTTTGGAGGCTTTGCAACCCTCTTCTGCGATGAAACAGAGAAGATCCACTGAATGGCGTTCAGCTGTTGGAAAGTCATCTGCACAGAGCAGTAAATCATCAACATACTGGAGCAGGACCACATCTGGGTGAGATTTCTGCCAGGGTTTTAGTACAGTAGACATTGCTTTGGCAAATTGTGTTGGAGAATTTTGTGCACCTTGAGGCATAAAACAGTCCATGTATATTGCTGGCGGTCATGTGTGAAAGCGAATAAATACTGACATGAGGGATCCAGAGGCACACTGAAGAAGGCGTTTGCAAGATCAACCACTGTAAAGAATTTAGCAGTTGAAGGAACTTGTGACAACAATGTTTGCGGATTTGGAACGACAGCTGTGTACCGTTTAGTAACCTCATTAACAACACGGAGATCCTGAACCATGCGATATTGGTCTGGTTGGCCTTTCTCAGTTTTCTTCTTTACAGGAAACAGGGGAGTATTGCACTGTGAAACACATTTGATTAACACATTTGATTGCAACTAGACTTTCAACCTACATGGAGATGGCAAGAGCTTGTGCGTGTTTCAAAGGGTACTGTGGTCGCCTTGGCGGGGTAGCTCCTTTGAGGAGTATGACTACCACAGGTGGGACTCTGAGACGGCCAATATTATCAGGGCCTGTAGACCAGAGTTTAGTTGGAATGGAATCCAGCGCACTGGGGGCTTCAGGGACCCTTGTTTCCTCTGTGGGGGAAGTCATGTGCATGAGTAGGGGTAGAGAGCAATAGCTGAAGTATCCTTACGAGAAAGTGGGGTAAGTAATTGTACCTGACCCTCGGCAGTGAAAGAGATAGAAGCCTGAAGGCGAGACAGTACATCAGCATCTAAGAGGTTAATAGGATAGGTGGATGAAACAACGAAATGGGAAAGGATGTTAGAACCAACACGCAAGAGTTTTGTTAATGGGTTATGTCGGGGGGTACCAACAACACCCACACAAGAAACATCGAGGTCAGACAAGTAAGAAGGATCTGGCAGGTCTTGTTCTCTGAGAACACTGCGGGCTGCACCTGTGTCAACTAGGAAGGTAGTGGGATGACCCTCAACTGGTAGTACTACGGTAGCTAGGGGCCCCCTTTATCCCTTGCAGACACTGCCATAACAGGGGTGCCAGACACAGGTTTGCCGGTTACCTATTGTACAAGATCTAGGTGAGACTGATCGGGGCCAGTGTAATGACGTGTAGTAGGGTGACTTGTTTGATGGTTTTGGCAGGGCAGGGCGAAAATGAGTAGGTGCTGAGTGGTCAGTCTGTTGAAAGTCATTTGAATCATAAGTATCTGGGGGAGGATTTGTGTTAAATTGACTGGGTTCATAAGTAGCTTGGGTGTAATCCTGCGGTGGGTAATATGGTGCGTGTGGCTGTGGATGTGTCTGTGAAGGGAAACTATGTTGAGGACTCACATATGTGATCGTGTGTGTGATGGGGTGCAAAGGAGGTCTGATAGGTGGTGGGCGAGTTACCCGTGGTTGTGGGCAATCCATGCGGAGATGACCTGGTGAGTTACAATTATAGCAAACCCTGGCTGGAGGTCTGAGTGCTGGGGACTGTCCTTGTGTAGCAGGCATAATAGCCAATGTGGGGTGACTCTGGGGACCCAAGGTGGGTCTGATAATGGGACCAGAAGTAGAAAACATGAGTGGGTTACTCTTCTTATGTGTAGGCTGTAGAACTGATTCTAAACCCTTTGCTACCAACAAGAGAGTGTCCAAAGGAATAATTCTGTATTCAGGACGTGCAAGTACTAAACCTTTCCTGATAGTCTCTTTAAGACCAGCCACAAAAGCGGCTGACAGCATCTGAGTATGTGCTTTATTATATACACTGAACTCGAGATCAGAAAATGTTTGTCTTAACCTGGAATTATATTATTCCACTGACTCAAGTATATCTTGTATGATATCATTTATGCAAGTTGCCTGGTCAGCTAGTTTATCCTGGGCCCAGGCTTTGAGTTGTTCACAGAAAACAATACCCGACTGAAAATCTGTATCAGTAGTGAGTACAGCATCATTAAAACTCCTTTCCATAATTGACCAATAGGTATCCCCAGCCTTGATCTCACACAAACTATACAAATCACACCAAGCTGCTGAGCATGTTTTACGAATCTGAGCAATTCTTCGGAAAAAGGGCATGGGTTGTTTCTCTGGATCGGGGAGGGAGGTTACCAGGGTCACAGCTTGGGATGGGTTAAATGTGACATACATTGGCGGGGCTCCTTCCACTGCTGATGAGGTAGGAAGGTGAGTGGCTGCAATAGTTTGTCTTTGAGTAGATCTGTTATTTGAGGGACGGAACGGGCTAAGCTCCGGCACATTATCGTCCCCTGGTGGGACTGGGAGACCATGCTAGCTGACAACATCAAGTGAGTTGGGGACCGGGGCCATCGGGGTATTAGAACCGGGAGGGCCAACAGTGATAGTCTGGGGGGTGACTAACTGAGACGTAGTGGGATGGAAACCTAAGGCAGCGGGTGAAGCA